CGGTCCATCCATAGCGTATAATAATAATTGATACATTGTGTAATGACATTTACAGAGTTGGACTGAATACAAGTTTAGTTCCTGAGGGGAATGTCCCCATCCAGAGACTGGAGACCAGACACTGCTTTAGGGAAGTAAAATAATAAGTTGTCACTGGTTGGGTGTCATAGGTATGGCCGCTCCATTGTACTGAGTATATCTCGGCTGCAATTTTTCCCAAGTAATCTTCCAGGACGGCATCTGAGAGTCTCCTCCCACCTGAAACAGGAAACTCATCATACACGCCAAATAAAAAAGGTGCTTGGGACTCTCATGCCTCCGTTATTTGTGTTTCCTCGGCCTGACAGGAGCACCGTCATGTTTGTCTTTTTTCTGATAGGCCTGTGTGCAAGTTGCCGGGGCCTACTGCGCAAGGTATCCCCTTCTGTAACGCCTGGGGACACTGGGGCAGCCCCCACCCGGAGTACTTTAGCAGTCGCTGGCGCAGAACCAAGCAGGCATGTTTCCATTTTTCAGGTCGGAGATCTTCTTGCACCCACGTTATCTTTTTTTGTTACTTTTTGTAGGAACTCGGTCACCAACTCCACCACAGCCAACTTTGAGCCCAGCTTGGACTACTGCGTGGTGAAGGCCCCTCGATGGGATCTTAGTAAATTCCTGCGAGTCAGCACCAAGATTGGCAGCTCCATGAAGAGCGTTGGTGAGTACGGGGTCTGGGGGCGTTTTCAGCATGACAAATTTGAGGGAGAGCTTCTACCCATCCCCCCCCCCCACTATGCATGTGGCAGCACCCCAGAGAGGTGACTTGTCCTACAATGGCCACACTTGCTCAGCCTCCATTACAAATGCTAAGGGTCTCTCCGTGGCCTTTCCATCCCTCCCTGACTGAGGAGATCCGGCTTCTGAACGCACTTTGCAATGCATTGTGGTCCCAGGTCGGTGGATGAGTTGAAGCTGAAGGATAACGGCCATTGTTAGGAGGAGGTCCAGCAGTCGCATGTGATGAGTTCACGTCTCTGCCGTTCCAGGTGAAGTCATGTCGGTGGGCCGGAACTTCGAGGAGGCGTTCCAGAAGGCGTTGCGCATGGTGGATGAGAACTGCGTGGGGTTTGACCACACGATGAAATCCGAGTCCGATGAGGTAAGGTGGTTGTCACTCTGGTTAGGGAAGCTTCCATGTGGCCGGTGGCGGGTTGATCACCATCCTTCCTGTCCTCCAGGAGCTGGAGACTCCTACGGATAAGAGGATATTTGTGCTGGCTGCGGCGCTGCGTGCCGGCTACACCATCGATCGCCTGTATGAGCTGACCAAGATCGACCGCTGGTTCCTGCACAAGATGAAGAACATCACCGACCACGTGTCCACGCTGGAGTCCTGCCAGGATAAGTCCACCATGACCCGGGACGTCCTGCTCCGCGCCAAACAACTCGGCTTCTCCGACAAACAGGTGGCCATGGCTGTGCAGAGGTGAGAGCCGTCTTCTGTCTTTCCAGTTGTCGGAGTTGAAGGAGAATTGTGTCACTTGTACATTTAGGGGTATTAAGGGGTATTTTTCTTTTGTTATTGGTAAATGGTTGGGACCGGAATCTGATTTTTGTCCTCCCCTCCCCCCCCCCCTCTCCC